CAATACAGTAGAAAACAATGCAAGATTTATTTTTACATTCCATTAAAAAGTTTAATAATATAAATTTTTCAGACACCAAAAGATGTAAAAGTGGCATGACCCTTTTAAAATTGAGAGAATAATGTGCAATTCAGGCGTATCTGATTTTTGTGGCCATTATCACTTCTTTTCAAGGTTTTTTTTTTCTTAGCTTTGAAGATATGGCGAATTCCATATCTTCAATCTCTATGCCGCAATGTTTGTTTGGTAGTCACAAATCAATTCCATGTCAGAGGTCGAGCAATCTCATTCTCAACCACTCATCAAAGCATCATCCTCCATTATCTTCTTCTCCGGCTTCCGTCGTAGAAACTGGTGAAGACAACGACCTCACTTTCAGGTACCCTTTTGCCTCTCTTAATCGATTCCAATTGCAAAACTCTATAATTCGTATCGAAATCGTCCAAAGTTTAGATTTTTTTTTTGGAGTTATAGATTGTAGGCAGAATCTTTATAACAGAAAAAATTAGGGCTTTTTGGGGTATATGATTGGATCCTAGAGTTATAATCGTTACTGTTTATGAAACATGAAAATCTTCAATTTAAAAATTATAATTCAATCAAAGACTATTGTACAATGGGTGTTACATGAGTTTGAACCACAAAAACAGAGGATCAATTAGAAGAAACAGAGCATTAATTTAACTTGATAATTGCATATTTTTGTGATGCATTGTTCTCTTAGGCTCTAGGACTAACATTGAGGAATGAAACAGTGGTTGCAGAGGATGTGGGAAGGAAGAAAAAGAGAGTGGTTGTAATGGTGAAGGACGGATTCAAGGCGGTATTGCGACTGTACCTGGTTTCGGTTGGTGGCCTATTAAGGCTTACCGGCCTTGTCCTGCCTTTGTTGAGGCCGGAGGTAGATACCGACGCTTAGGCCAGAGCATGGACGAGGTTGCATTTGGTCGTGGTGGTGACTCTAAATCCTCCACCGATTCGCAGCTAAAAGGTATGTGTATGCATACAATCAAAAAGAAACAGAGTCAATCTTTTACCTAAGTTTTGAAGTTGAGTTAGTCCTGCAGAGCAATGATCTCTTGTCTTGTGTTTTTGTTTTTGTTGCAGCAAAAGAAAAGCTAAAGTCGTAGCGCAAGTTAAATCGTCAAGTCATCTTTCAGTTCAAACCAAAAGGAAAAGGAAAAATTGGTATTTTGTGATGATACTTGGTTAAGCATGATGTGTAAAATACAAGAACTACATTCAGAAACGCAGAACATGGTCTCCAAATTTGAAGTCAGTGAAGGATAAATCATAATACATATCTAAACAAAGACGTACACACAAGAGGACATATGCACCATACCAAATAACTTGGATCAGAACAAGCCAGACATTTGCGATTGTCTCAAATGGTTTGAGAAAACAGTAAAACCCTCTGTCTCTTCTTCTACCGCTTCTTGCCGCATAAGCAAGTAGCGGCTTGAAGAGCAAAGTAGGTAAGGATGATGTTAGCACCAGCTCGGTGTAAGCACATGAGTGACTCCATTATCACTTTCTCCTCATTGATCATCTTAAGGACTCCCCCTGCTCTGATCATAGAGTACTCTCCAGAAACCTGAAAATTACATAGAGAGATTTAGATTAAAAAAAACCTGAAAATTTTGATAAGAGTAGAAGAACCAGAGTGTGATAAATTGAGTACTGATATGCAGCAATGGGCAATGAAGTATTGTCCCTCAGAAGCCGTATGAAGTATTGTCCCTCAGAACCAGACTGTATGTAGGAATATTTCTAATAATATATTGAGTTTTCTTTTTTGAAAATAATGAGTTTTTCTTTTCATAGTTTTTATATTGCGTTGAAATTATGAAAGAGCAGCCACAAATATCATCTATTGGATTGGAGTTTCTATCCCATAAGAAGATCTAGCAGCTCCAACCAATAGATGCATGACAGGCCTCTTGGTAAAGTTTCTAATGTAAAAGCTAGGCACAATAGTTTGATATATGTTGCAAAGTTGTATAAGATTCTCAAGGAAAAATCGTCTTAATGAATGATCACATGCTGTTGGTCATTGATCATATATCTTTATTTGTAGTGTAAGTCAAAAAAATATAATGGTTCTTTAGTTAATGTTATTAATCATATTTAGAATAATATAATTCAAGACAAGATAAATTAAAACTTCTCATATGATTAAACTCTATTAATTTATAATTAATTATGTTGAGCGTTTGCTTAACTTTAAAAAAAAAATGTTTTTAGTATTCTTTGCATAGTGAAACAAACACATAGATTGTTGGAAATAGAGCATGAGGGTCCTCATGACAAAATAAATTGTTTTTAATTGGTTGAAAAATAAATTATTTTTAAATTATTTTTCAGTTCATTAAAATTCGCAAGTTTTTTTCTTGCTTAGAAGATGAAAGTCAAATTTGATTTTATTTTGTAAACATTGTTTTTTTTAATTAACAACAACAATTTCATGAATTTTACCTTTTCCGTGCGGCAACGCGGATGGAATACATAGGTACATTGGTAATATATTTTTTGTTTGTTGTTGACAATGACCACCATAATTTTCGAAGATTATACCCGCCTAAACATTCTTCATTGTACCTGTGTATTCCATTTGCATCTTCTTTTACAAGTGTGTTACCGTTGTGACCATCAGTATAACCAAAACGGATACGGCTTATGCAGACTTTTGGGATCTCCTTGGGAGTCGTACGAAGGATCTCGGTATGAAGGACAGTCGCATCAAACTCCACAAACCTAATCAAACACCCAAACATGTCTTTGGTGGTGCGAATGAAGACTGTTGGAGGTGTACCTGATAGTTCCAAACATGAAGAAGAACCAGAGCGGTGTCCATGTTGTGGATGGTCTAGTAGATAGACAGCAGCTTCTTTTTTTTGCAAATGCTTCATCCGCATATGTCTTGAACAAACAACATTATTTGCCTTTGCCATCTACAACTTCGAAATATGACTCTTATAGTCCATTTCGAAGAAGAGACGCTTATCGTCTTTAGCTTGTAGGTAAGTCTCGATCATCTCTTTGAGCTCATCTGCAATTGCGTGTGAAACTTCCTCCAGTTTGGGGAAAATGTCAACAAAACCATACTCAATGTACTGATCTTCCGAATTTGTGAACCGCTGGATTATGGTTGATCTCTTGCGATGATGGACATACCTATACATACATGGACAGTTAAATTTGTTTAATTAACTTACTCTATAATCAGATTTACAGGTTATATATAGAATAAAAGGACAAAAGGATGAAAGATATGGTGCATAACACCTTTTAAATTAACAAATCGATTCGTGAAATTGTTTTTCTGTACGAAACATCTTCAAAGATAAATTCGATAACCATGATATTTTTAATAGAATCGCCATACATTTATCTTATAAATTGGTTTGGAAGAATCCAAAACAACCAGATTCAATCTCTTAGAGCTTTATTAAGATAG